ATATATATATATATATATGGTAATTAAGGATATGTATGGTAATTAAGGAAATGTTGTCTACCTATACATTCCTTGGTTATAACAATTTCCTTTTATTCAGTGATATTCACAATAACTCTATTTAATGCACGAAAATACGAAATTGAAAACCCTATTTTCAAACAAAATGACTCATTATGCCTTCAATATAAATATAAAACATTTACACAATGCAGAAGAACAAGTTCTCAAAGAAAAGAAAAATGAATCAATTACATGTTCTTGTTTTTATAATTTTATTTACCTGTTCTGTAGCTGCCAATGTTATAGATCCGAAGACGGAGCTGGCGAATGATTTTATCCGAGATACATGCAACAAATTTGAATTGAAAGAGCTTTGCATTACTGTGATCAATTCAGATGTTCGTGAAGATTTGAAATCAAACTTGACTGGTCTTCTCACCATACTCGTCAACCATACTTTCTATGCTGTTGTTGATAATCATTCTTACCTTGACAATCAAATACAAAGTGGACATTTAGGGAGCCGAACACGTCAGGTTTTTGTTGGGTGCTTGGATGATTATCGAATGATCCAAAATTCTCTAAACTATATATTGACGGAAAAGCTATTGAAGGAACATAATTCAGATTTGAATTTGGATTTGTCACAAATTGCTAGTTATTTAACTACTTGTGAGGATGATTTCGTGGAGTTTACACCCGAGCCCCCGATTTGGAAGTCTCGCTTTGATCATGTGTCGTCATTCATGATACTCTTATTCGACATGACAAATCTCAGCCAATGTGGTCGTGTTACACCGGTTTGTTAAGTTATCCAAGTTCATATTGGTTTGCTCTCATGCACTTTATATTTTGTTGTTGTTGTCCTTTCTAATATATTTTAATAAAGGTTGTGTGTTTTTTGTTGGGTCAACATAACCTGCGTTTTATATTAAAAATATCTCTTTAACATAGTCTTTTAATCTTAATCTCACAAGCAAATATAATGAAGGTAGTGACGATTACATTATATTGTGTCCCTTTGACATCGGCAATTCAAATTTTAACCTAACATTTATTGTGCTGGAAAAATGAAAAAGTCAATTTTGTATCGTAATTTTTCCTAACTTGCTCCAATAAATTTTCTAGAGCATTTGTAGTTAATAATTAGGCAATTTCTATTTTTTTGAAATATAACAAATATCTTTTTCCTATCTTGAAAATTTGAAGTATAATATTGTAAAGTTCTCCTAACCTTTAACCCTGTGTAAATTCCATATTTATATTAGTTAATCAAAACACAAATTTTCGATTTTTTTAGTACAAAACTTATGAGAAATTACCTCATGCTTCTTCCAAAAAATCTCTGATGTCCCTTCTTCTTTTCTTTTTTTCCATTCTTTGTAATCAAAATTTTAGAGATTCTAAATCTAGTTTCTCATTTGGCGCAAACACTAATTGTTCAAGGATTGTTTTTTGAGTTCATGATATCGGGCATTACATAATCCTATTTCATATTTTATATAGTTTATATTCCCTTCCCTTGGTATTTTTCAATGGAAAATGAAACCAATAGATTATAAATGGAATTGAAAAAGAATATATGTACGTAAATACTTAAGTTCGGAAGGGTGAGAATATATTATATTGTTTTTTAGTACAACGTGTGAGGTGTGGATCAAACTCACAACCTAGATATATGTCAATTACACTGAGCTATGCTCATTTTGGCCATATTTTTGTTTTTTAAAAAATATAATGATATGCCAATTTTTCAATAGTGRTTAGAATAGAGACATGACTTACGTACGTATATAATAATGATAATAAATTATAGTTTCATTCTTTTTTATCTTATATTATAAAAGAAAATAAACTTTGGTAAAGTTTTCTATTAGTGTACTGTGTATAGGTGTATATACAATATACAAAAGCATAAATGTATGATTCAAAATATTCAGCTTAAAATGCTCAATAAAGTTTTCACTAACACAATTTTTACAATTATGTTTTGAAAAAATAAAAATAAGAAATTGCTTAAAGAATGGTGTAAAGTATGTATCATTATGAAATTGTTAGTATTGAAATTGTTTGATGATCCAACTAAATTGTTACAAAGTTCTTGATCGATTTATTCATGTAGGTTAAAGTTTCGTGGCCTCGTTCCTTTTTAATTTTGTTACCTATTTTCTCTTATTTTTAGTCAATTGCCTTTAATTTCTTTTTCTAAATTGATTGGTTTCTATCGGTTCCATTGTAATAGAAGGATAATATTAATTAATACTCAAATGCAACAAAGTACATTATAATTAGAATTTCAAATGCTCAAATTCTACTTTAAATTTATTTATAACTACGCGAGCATAATTAAGCTGCATATAGACCACGTCTAAAAGGTATACCAGTTTCTGATAGCCACTCAAGTCCATCAATAAAAATTTCAACGGTGAATCTTGAGGCTTCATCTTCATTATGCAATACGTGATAGCCGGGCCATTTCACCCGCTGAGAAGTGTCAGCTCCCGAACCGCTGTTGTTGTATTCAGCATAAAACAACAAATACACTGGTGTCCGTGGCCATTCCGACCATCCTCCTGGTTCAACTATATCATCTAAGAAAGACTCCATGAAAATAACCGTGGAGTAGTTCCTCCACGGTCGTCCAAGAGACACCGTCACTTGATCCTTGATTGACTGTATCTCTGGTGACACCGTTACGTTGCAATTTTGAAATGTAAAGCCACTGCGTTGATCTTTGTAGGATTTGGACTGTGCGGTGATAGTAGTGCCCAATATTCGTGCATATACATTACAGTCTTGAAATATGGCGAGCCCATCTCCAAAGATGAAATCGATGCTTCCATATACGTCGCACTCCTTGAATAATTGGAAGGCTCCTCTCACATAAAGTGTGTCTTGATAACCCATAAAGACACACTTATAATACGCTGTATAATTAGCTTCACTTAGAACTGCCACGGCTTGTCCATTTTCCGGTCCGGCAGAGTTTTGAAACGTCAGAAATTGGGCCACAAAATGTTTAGCCTTCACAGCTACAAAATAAAAATGTCCACACAAATTGAAACTAAAACTCATACACTCACATAATTTAAGCAGAATGTAAAATAGATCAAGAAGTTAAGATAGTTACTGAATGTGGCAGAGGAAGTAGTCGAGAACCCCGCATGATTGCTTCGATCGTCCACAATGACAGTCGTAGATGCATCATCTCCGATCAACGAAATAAATGTTTTCAGCTCTGGAACTTCAATGTGTTCTTTATAAATCCCAGGTTTGACATGAATATAAAATCTGATTGAACCGTTGTTGGGCGCTGCAGCTATAGCATCGCTAATATGGACGTAATCTCCGCTACCGTCCAACGACACAGTTGCATTAAAAGTGATCAAACAGTGGGAGAACTCCACAGAGTGGAGAAGGAGAAAAACTAACCACATGAAATAACTCAGAGCTTGGACTGCCATTATCGACTTTGAGAGCGCAGAGAAGAAGAAAAAAGCTAAGGATTGATTTTGAAGAAGAAGAACGAATAAAGCTGTGAGATACCGTACTAGTTTTGAACTTGAACTATGAGGTTGAGGACTGCCATATTTATATATAATGAATACCGCGTAAACACTCAAAAGTGGGGGTTTTTTTTTTTACTTTTAAATAAAAGTGGGGTTATTAATAAGAATATAACTGTAGTAATTTTCGATTTACTTTTCGAAATTAACTTGAAATTTTAACAAATGTACGTCATAATGGATCAAATGGATTGATCCCTCTAGTTTAATTAGTCTGTAACTAACTTATTTAGTTTTAATCAAATTTTACGATTATTTAATCTAACAGATTATGTAAATTTAGATTCCAAAGAAATAGACTACTAAAAACTTAAACCAAACCATTAATAAGCTAACACAAAAATTATTGGATAATTAATTCGCGTTATAGATTATATCACTTTTGCATATATTATAGTTTCATTGAGTTCTGTTTGGGGGTAAACACACCCGGGACACGTGGAGGACCATTATTCGTGTTTGAAGAAATTAGATAAAAAGGATTGCTTAGGTCCATCTCGGCCCCGCCGAGGAGACCAAGTTGGCCCGCTGTAAAAGACTAAGTGCGGGCACCAAAGTTCGACCTGGTTAGGGTCCGACCTGCTCGGAACCCGACAAGCCCGATATGAGAAAAAGACATGTAACCGCCGGTCGTGTGTACTGTCGGATCCACTACCTATAAATAGAGTAGTTCATTTCACGCTCAGGTATCG